TGAAGACGTTTTAGCTCCATTAGTAATTTGTAATATGGGAGAGTTCATAAGTCTTATTTTACTTTGAAATCCTCAACTGCCTTTTTTTCCCACTGCCTTGAACTTGCCTTAAAACAAATTACTGTTTGATTATAAAAATGAAATGAGCTAAAGGTAATTCTTTTCATATTTTTTATTACATATTTTAGTTAGAGAATTTGAGGTGATACAGCATAAAGCTTAGGAATGATTTGACTTAATGCCTACATACCCATTGGCTTCATGAAACATCTCAGTCTTAACTGCCAAATTTATATGTATTTTATACAGACATGTTTATTTTCTATATGTGCATCGTTATTGAATTTTATACACTACATGTAATTTACACAGTAATGTTTTGTTCAGTAACAGCAAAGGTACAGTATAGTTGAACCTCCTTTTTGTCTTCTCTCATTAAGTTCTATCTATCTGATACTTGACTAATGTAAATTGTCATTGAGACACAAAGAAAAGGGGAAGAGATTATAACTGAAACCCAAAATGGCATTTTACCATAGTCTTCTTCCAGTTTTCAAGGTAGCTAAATTTTGTGTGTTGTATCACAGGTTTTTTTTTTTGGGGGGGGGTGTTTTGAGGGGAAGGGGACTATGTTTAACAATTAGATACATAGTTTGTGCACTGTATTACCTATGGATGTATTTTACTTTTGTTTTAGAAATAAACTACCCATGACTTTTAGCTATTGTATAACATGGTGATTCTAGTTAATAACAGTGTATACTCTTAACATATTCTCATGCCAAAAAATATGTGGATTGAGGAGCATGTTAATTAGCTGGATTAGCCATTCTGTGATACATACATGCAGTATTTCACAACATTAGGTCCTGTGTCATAAATATATACTCATTTGTTGATTTAAAAATAATTTTTAAAAAGAAAAAAATACACTCAAACCTACCTATAAGTTGTCAATTCTTTGGTGTGTCTAGTAATTACCTAAACTGAAATTAATGATTTTCATTCATTCATGCTATATACAGTCTTCTTGTTTTCTTTCTGTAGGAATTTCTATCTATCTGTCTGTCTATCTAAAAATAGTTTCTTCAGAATATACCATAGTTTCTTCACACTTTAGTGTTTTTTTTTTAAAATATAAGTAACTTCATCAAATGGTATGATACCAAAGGAGAACACAGAATGACTTCTTTGTAAAACCACAATAAGTGATAGAAGATTTTGTTTTAAACAACTACATGAAAAGTAGGGTCAAAAAAAAACAAAAAAAAAGTAAAGTAGGGTCATTAAACATTTCTTTAAAATTCTAAAAATTTAATTAATGAACATCTATTATAACAAGCAAAGTCAGTGGGATGCAAGAATGAATTTTAGGTTTGCATGATCGTATCCCCTAACAGTATAGAAAAATTTGTGATAAACACCCTAGAGGACAGTGTCAGAATTACTTTTCAGACGTGAGCCTTTTTTTTTTTTTTTTTTTTTTTTATGAAACTAGGGATTGAACTCAGGCCCTTGCACTTGCCAGGGAAGCACTTATTCCATTGAGTCATCTCCCCAGCCCCAACCTATTTTTTAAAAGTAATGTTTAAGAATTATCTAGATATTTTTAATTACTAAAACTTGCTTTTATATCTTACTGAATCTTCTGAAATCTTGGGTTTGGAAAAATCTGTCATGCTGTTACATTAACTATCTCATGTTTTGCGTAAGGAAAAGGATTTTAAGATATGTAATAAGCAGGTATAATTATCTCATTTTTAAATAACCAATTAATGTGCTCGCTTCGGCAGCACATATATTAAATAACCAATTAAGTAAAATAACTAATGTTGAAATAAAACCACAGTTTTAGTATTTTGCATACAAAATGCTAAAGGTTTACTTTCTTACAGGTAAAAATTTTTAAGTAAATGATATACATATCAGCGAATTTTTTTGATACACATTCTTGAACTGTTGCATTTTTTTGTCAAGAAAAAAATACAGTCATCCTTTATTAGGTACATTTTAAATTTCATCTAAGTTCTCTCTATCCAGCGTGTGTTCCTTTAATACTGTCTTGGTGTTTATTGATAAAGCAAATTAATTTTAACATTATTAACTTAATTATTATTTTAAGCTAATCATTAAGAAAAATAATCAAGAAGATAAATCTGCTGCAGGTCATATATTCCAAAACTAGATATGTTATTTTACTTTGTATGCTATTTTAGATAGTATATATTACAGTTCTGTTTTATTAGCAAGAATAATTGTGATTCCCATGCTAAATTTTTGACCCTAAAATCATTGCATTTTGAGGCATTTTTTATAATTTACTAGATAGGCACATTACTGTCACTAGCAACACTGCTCAACAGCACAGCATGTACCTAGCAAGTCCTGAGTTTGATTCCCAGTTTAAAAAAAAAAAAATTGTAATTTATTACATATATTATTCCCACTGATTTTAAGTTGCTGATAAGACAGGTGTCTTTAGCTTTTTACATGAGGTTGGAAAATAAGTCCAAGAAACTTATCATATGTCTTTTTGTTTCTTGTTTTTTGTAGTATTTGGAATTGAACCTGTGGCCTTCTGCATTCTAGCAAGCTAGCACTGAGGTACACCCACCCCAGGCTCATTATATGTATATTTTTTTCATACATATATTTTTAATCTAACAAAACTATATCTGTGTTTACCTGTAGCAATTTAAAGCATATTTTTTGTGTCTTACAGTATTTCATTAGAATAGTAAGAATGTGTTAAAAGCTTTCTGGGTTTTTTTTCATGTCTAAGTGAAGGTACTTTCGAAATACATATGATAAATTAGTGCTTTGATTCAAAGTCTATGAGGTTGAGGTATTTTACTTACAACTCAGCCTTTAAGCTTTATAAAAAACCCAAGCAAGTTTTATCCCTATGTTATTATAGGATACTCAAATTTTTAAAAGAATCTTGCTCGTAACCCTGTAAGCAAATTAAAGTTATATTCTAAAACCCATGTGGATTTCATTGTACCATATTTTTTCCATATATTAGTCCAGTGGATTGTACAAGTTTTAAAAAGTTACTCTGCTTTTCAGAAAACCTGATATATAAAAATCTAGAATCACAAATAGACTAATTTGGGATATTTGTTAGTCTAGTGAGATAGATGATTAACCTCATATTCTTTAGATGACATGACATTAAAAGTATTACTGGCTTTTCCAAAATTCAGTTTCTCACTCAACACTTTGAGTACTTACTCTGTGAGATGATGTCAAGTGAGACAAACCTGCAATTCTGTATTCACACCTCTTCATGAATACCTGTTTTGTGCTAGGATGTCGTGTTTAGGGTGTAAGTGGCCCAAAAAGATCTGAGAAAGAAATTCTTGTGGGTTTTTTGGATTTGTTTGTTGGTTTTGCACTGGGGATTGAACACAGGACCTGCTTGCCAGGCAGGCACTTAGTTGCTGGGTATCTCCCCAGCCCTGAGAAAGAGATTCTTAAGAGACCAGAAAAAAAAAAGTTTCACCTGTGCTTATAATTCACATTTTATATGACTTCTTGAGTTTCTTGAATAGAAGGTATTTCTGATTTTTTTTTTTTTTAACAAAAACACTAAAGTTAAAAACCATCCCAACATGATATACACATTTTTAATCCCCACTTTGGGAAGGCCATGGAAGGAGGATCCCCAGGAATTTGAAGCATTGGAAACCTGGGCTGTCTAGTGACTTCAAAGTCAGCCCAGACTGTGTATAGCAAGACTCTGCCTCAAAAACCAAAAACAAACAAAACTAGATATTTTCTATGCAGTTACAGCATAGTATTTAGGCACTTGAATATGTCTATCCAAAAGCAAGTAATTCTGAATTTAAATAAGTACATTTATAAAAAGTTATGAGTAACTTAGACAAAGTGTGATTTACAGAAGCTTGAGAAGAAATTAAATGCATCAAGATACAATTTGTATAGAGATGCTACATAAAAATCTGAGTTGTGGTGGTTTCTAACAGTATTAACTTTTTAATAAAAAGTTCTATTTCATTTTTATTTGATTCAAAAACCTTACTTGTACGATTTCTAAGATTTGCTCAGCTCCATCTCCTGTAAAAAAGATGTGTCATAGCTATTTTTATTATCCACAATGAAATCTTGTGAAGAGAAAATCTGGCTTTGACATTAAATCTTAACTATTTTTTTCATTATTCAAGATCAAATGCCAAGGAAAAGTCAGCTTATAAACTGGAGAGGTATATAAACAGTTCAACTGAAGTGATTGTTACATTTTTCTCTGTTGCTCCTTTGAGATTTGATTAAACCATTTGAAGTACTTAAGATAATTTGATATTTTAGTAGAAACATTTCTTCTTAGTATACATAATAAATTACATATTTAATGTGGAGTTTGTTGTTTAATGAGAATTTCTTAAAGGACTTTGTTGTATAATACATTTTACAAGGTTTCTTTTAGTATATACAGCCAACTTTGATATTACCTTAGATGTTGTAAGTGGGAGTCACATATAGTTGCAGAAATGATACTAGCTTTACTGATTCTAAGTTTTTGTGAGTAATCAAAATTTTGGAATGGATCCTAATTTATCTGTGTAACCTCAGCCAAGATTTTAAAAATGACTTTAGTTAAACGTTGTTATGATTAAGATTTTGTTACCACATTTAAATTAATTTCACAGGAGCAAATTTAAGATATAACCAATTTTAACCAAAGAAGAGTACAGAGAAAGGATTTAGCTGTTTTTTATTAGGGCAGGTTTGAGGTGGGGAACGGACTCACATTTAAAATTCTGTTTGTATTGTAGATATATTTTATAGAGACAGACATATATAAAATGATTTAAAATTTTTTTATCACTCTAAAGAAATCAACATAATCCACTGAGTCTAAGATACAGCATTTAGATAAATATTGAAAATAATCAGTGAAGTTCTTCCACAAGACTCTTTAGTGATACTCATTTAATATTTTTGAGCTGGAAAAAAGAAATAAATATATAGGATGATTATGAAAATGGACTCCTTTATTCTGATGCCATGTACCCTGTTGAAATTAAGTTATCCATGTTATATTGGAGCGCAGTTATACAAAGAAATGAATTTGCTAATTTTTGTCACTTGCAAGACCAAAGACCAGCGAGAGCTATTATAGCTTGTCATGAGTTACATCAATGTATAATATAGGTGTTATGCAAAATCATCAAGTGGTACTATTTATTTTTAAAGTGACACATTTAACTTTTTATTATAATTATTTATACAAGCAAAGAAGCTGACAGTGTTATTTATTTTTTATTGTCATCAACAGTTTTCTAGGAATTTTCATCAAAATATCAATTCAGCTATAATTTTAGTATGAAATACAAGAACTGTGAATAAGCTTTTGGTTCCAGCTATTAAGAATCAAATGAATAGCTTTAATACCTTTTTACAATATTTTATTTCACTATAGCTCTGCTTTAGGTAGAGCTGCACATCTGTTTTGCTCAGTGGTTAATTTTATCAGTTCAGTTTCTTTGTAGATTTTTGCCATAAATAGGATGTTAAATCCTACAGCCTCTTAAAATATTTCATTATCATTTATTTAAATGAACTATACATAATATGCATGCTTGCTTTTTGTACAAGTACCAAGACATGGTGATTGAAAGACAGCTAAGGAAAAATAAACAAATAACAAAAGCATTCAGTTTTTATTTACAATATATAGATGATTACTGTTTTCATTTTAGGAGAAAGAGTCTGAACAGCAGGAGCACCCCAGAGAAGGACATCTTTAGTGATAGAATTTACATACCGTTAGCTCACAGTACTTGATTAGCAGCAAGGCTCTGTGGTGCAGAGCTAGCTGAGCACATTATTTGGGATGCCTTTGATGCTGTGGTTTTCCGAAGCTTGCTGGCTGCATGCTTGTTGCCTTTGTTTGTGAGACAGGTAATTACTTGATAAAATGAAGTGCATCGCTGTGAACAATTGACCCTTTAGAACAATCCAGGCTGGTCAGCAGTCTAAACCCACACTTTAACGCCATCATTATAGCCTCAAACTTAAGAGTTTCCAAGGTACAGACAAAGGTGTTGTCTTCCTTCAGTACAAGTCGAGTGCCATTTTCAGACTTTATGAAGTATTTAAATTGAATGATATTTGATGATATTGAAAACTCCTCTGGAAATCCATCCAGCCTGCTTTTGGATACCAGAACAATTCGAGATTTTATTTTTGAAATGAAATCAGGAGCATTACAGAAGATTCTCAGTCCTTGAGAACGATCATGGTTATCTGTTATTTCCAAGAAAGTAGTCTCTCTGGGTGTTAGCTGTTCTTTTTCCCACCTGGATTTCACTTCTTCTGCCAGTCCCTTGAGCTGAAAGAATTCTGCTTCTTGTGCAAGAAGTTGATTTTCTCGAAACCCTTCGGGCAGTAGAAGTTCTCCATTTCGTAGGAAGTTTAGGACATGCCTGAAGAGGAGCCCATCCCTGTCTATAAAGTAATGTCCATCAGCATCAAATGGGCAGAGAATTTTCCCATTTACAATACCTTCAAGGAAAGTATCTGGGTACTTGGTCAGTGTTTGTTTTTGCGTAATATATAAATATCCACCAACATTGAGGGTCATCAGTGTAGATTTGCAGTTCTTTCCTTGCTCAGTGTCTTCCAGGCTGTTGTGTTTCCCTTCATATTCCTTTTCTTTTTCTCTTCTGATTATTTTACGCTCCATTCTTGAAGCTGTTATTTCAGTTTGTTCTTCTTGGCTTTGAGATTTTTTTAAAAAAGAAACACTACTGCACACACACGCCTTTATTCAGTCCCAGTCTGGCAGTGGAATGGAAATGCTAGCAGCGTCGCCTGCGCTGTCAGCTCAGCTTTGCAGTAGGTGGCGTATCAGCTATGTGTGCAGGAGCTTTCTGGAGTAAGACAGAAAAGAGAATTTGCATTTAACTGTATCGGGGAAGGGATTTGTTTTCAACAGTGTTTTAATGTATATCCTTTCAAATAGAGTTACTCACAATAAACTGAATTTTCTCACAAGTCAGTCATACATGCTTCATTCTCCAGCCAAATGTCAATTTTTATCTACTTCTAAAATGTCTTATTTCTTAGGAAGATTTAATATTAAATAATATCTTTTGGAAAATACTGTATATTACACTAGTATCATTTTTAAAATAAATAATAAATAGAAAGCTAAGGTGAAAGGAACTAAACATAGAGAATTTTTTCTCCTTAAAAAGCCACACATTTTACTGTGATATAATCATTTTTGAAAGCTAAATAAGAGTATTTAAACCTGTTACTTGTGATATTGCACTCAAATTTGATTGGATTTGCATGTGATTCTGATGTGGGCTATTCATTAAGTGAAAGGAAATTACTTTTTACCCTAACGGTAGAAAAATCCAGTAGACTTTGTGATAATCATTTACTGTTTTGTTGTTATTGAAAAATTTATGAGCTTATTTGACCCAAAACTTGTTTCAGTGCTACTCAGACTTGCAGTGCCATAGAAAATATTATTCTGTGTCCATATGTGTGTATATATGTTGGGTTAAGATTAAAAATGCCTGCTATAAGTATTATCATGGAAAGTTTTTGTTTGTTGTCTGTCAGTGCCACAGAGAGTGAAAGGACAGTGTGTGTCATCTCCCCAGCCCTTTACCCCCCTCTTCCCTTTTAACTTGCTTTCAAAAAGCTTTTTTAGGGTTCTGAGCTTTCTAGTATTAAAATGTCCAACAGTACATAAGAAATGTGAACATTGTACCCAGTATACTATTATTTGACCTGTCACTAAGCTATTCTGAAGAATGACAGTTTTCTTAAAATTAGACTTTAGATAATGTATTAGATTTATATTTGTTGCATTAAAGTTATTTTAAAATTATTTAACTGTGTTGATAATTATTAGAACAAATTCTTCTTAAAAGAACAAATTCTTCTAAAAAATCTACTTTTTATTTTCTGTAAAGTGTTAGATTCTCTTTAAAAATTATATCCTTCATTATAGAAAACACTGAATTTAACATCTGTCATTGAGATATCAAAACCTAATTTAAACTGGACTAAAAACTAAGACAAAATACTTTCAGAGCTAAGCTCTTGCTTAGAAACAGTGAAATTGTACAAGCCTGCAATCCTAACCCACAGAAAGCTGAGGTAGGAGGATCCTTGCAAGTTTGAGACCAGCATGAGCTACAAAGCTCAAAGACAGCCTCAATTGCATAGTGAGACCCTATCTCAAAAAGACCAAAAAACCAAGCAGAAGAGAAAGAAGGGTGGGGTGGGGGGAATGAAATTAAGCGTCTTCATTTTTACCAAAGATAAAATTGTGTTCCAGAGAATTTTTAGTGTTTTGTCTATGCTGTAGTTTCTAATGGCACAGCCACCACTTGGACTGATAGTTCTGTGCACACAGGCAGCATTTAAAAGAACTTGCTCTTATAGTCCAGCAATCTCATATGTGTTGATTTTCTTTTTTTTTTTTAAGAATCAAATCTTTCCATGCCTATCACTTTTTTAGTGACACCAAATGGATTGAGAGGGCCTTTGGAAATACACTCATGGAACTTTTATGCTACCAAATGGTCACTGAATAGCAAAATCATAATTTTATTTATAGAGAGTCCTCTTTTTATGAAGTTTATGACATACTAGAATCAGTACAACATGACTAGGGTAGTGATAGAGACTATGCTAGAATTTATGTTTAAATAAAAGGTTATAGTTAGATACTATGTAATCGTGGGTCTGCTTCCTTACGCCCTATTTGGGGTATAGGTGCTTCTGGAGAGGCCTTGATACTGTGATTGCTAAAGAATGGACTTTCATGAGGACAGCAAGGGAGTAGGAGGTGAGGCTGGACTGTTGGTAGTGATGCTGCCCACCTCTTCAGAAATCCTCGCTTCAGAGCTTCCTCACACTTGCCAGCTCACTTCTGGTTTCTGCTGCCAGATTTTCAAAACCACTGATGAGTGCTCTTTGCTTCTGCAGGCTTGTCTCCATAGACATCAAACCACCCATCACATACCTCTCACCCGTGAATACTTTTTCTCACTTTAGACTTCACTGTCATGTCTTTGGCATCTGCAAATCGCTATGGAGGATTTGTTTGCTATCTTTTGTTTGCCACCCGTGTCTTGGCAACAGTAGTATAACTGAAGCCGTACCTTAATGCCATACTACAAGCTGATATGAAGCTATAGAACTTATCTTTTGTGTCTTCTTTGCTTCAGAGAATGCAAAACAGCACCAGGTAGACCCAGTCTTATCCACATTACCTTTTTTAAAGCAAAATGATTACATTTCATGGGAAGTGTAAGAGTCTGTTGATCATTGCTGCTTGTTGTGGTACACATGCCCTCTAAAGAGAAATGTAGGTTGGTTTCTTGTTAGTCTGTTCTAAATCATATGTGTTAGGGATATGGAGTGTGTGTCCAGGATAGTATCAGAAATGTTCACATAGCCCTAAAACTATAAAGTGCTGGTTTTATACCTATCCTAAGGGAAACATTCCTGATATGTATGACCCTATTTCTCTGCCTTAACACAATTATAAACTTGATTTAATTCAGTGGTTTCAGCAGAAGGATTTGAACCACAAATCAAAAATTAGCTTGCCTATATATATTTGACCACTAGACTTGAGGATTTCATCAGCCTTTTTCTTTTTGAGCAAAAAAAGATACAAAAATTAGAAGATAAAGGCCTGTTTTATTTTTTTTCCCATTTTTTCATAACATGAATCCAAAAGACAGATCAGTTGTATCTTTTTTTAAGAGGAAAAAAAATATCAAAGCAAGATAATGGAAGTACCCAGAGTACAAGATACCAGCATTTAACTGTCCAAACATTAGCACAGATCTTTCTTTTTGATGAAACAGGAGAAATCAGTAAACTAATATGTATCTATATCTATAGATATAAATATAGATTGCTTTTCCCTTTTCTCTCTTCTCCTATCCTTGTTTCTTTTTCCTTTGGAAGTTTTTTCCCTTTTTAAAATACCTGTTATACATCTTGGATCTTATTTACTCTTTCAGTTTTTCACACTAGAAAAAATATAATGTATGCACATGTGTCTGATTTGTTTCACTTACAAGTATGGTCTCAGTTGCATCCATTTACCTATAAGTCTCCAATGTATCTTTTGTGGCTGCATAGTATTCTATTGTATTAAAATGACCACGTCTCTTTTATACATTCCTTGGATGAAAGGCATTTGGATTGTTTCCAACATCTAGCTATTACAGATTGTGCTGCTATAAACATGGGTGCACATACATACTGGATTACGTGCATTGTAGATGTTTGTAATCATGTACGCAAGAGCCTATTAGCCAACTTTGTGAATTTAAACAAGTACTTGTCTGAGTTAATTGGGCCCAAAGGTTAACCAAGTTTTGACAAAGTCTACCATGAAGTAATGCTAATCTGCCATCCATATTGTGTAGAATTTCTATCCAAAGCAGCTCTTAAAACTATCCATTTCCTCTGAAAAAGTTTTTGTTTTGTTTGTTTGTTTTGTTTTGTTTTGTGTACTGAGAATTGAACTCAGGACCTTGTATTTGCCAGGCAGGTGCTTGTGCCACTGAGCTATATATACCTGGTCCTGAAAAGCAGTTTGAATTTCATAAGAATGATCCATTGAGTCTACGGGAATTAGCCAACCTTATATTTTCCCACCAGACGCAGAAAAAATTGCTTTTCAGGAAATGTATAGTTTTAAGAGCTGCTTTGGATAGAGACAAAATGTGTCCACACATTCTCTGAATCTATATGCACACTTGCACAAACATATTTTTGTGGTGTTAAGGATCAGACCTAAACCCTAATGTATGCTAGGCAAGCTTTTTTTTTTTTTTTTTTTTTTTTCAGAACCGGGGATTGAACTCCCCAGCCCTCCCATACCTTTTTGTTTTCACATATATGCTTATTCTGCATGTCTTTTGAAGAGATTAGGTTCCATTGTCTTAGACAGCAAACACAATTATAGAACAGCAGCTGTCAGTTTCTACTTAATGGATGTGTGCTTTGACCTTGCTGTATGTTTTCACAAGTTGAGTTTCTCTTTTATAGGCGTGGCTTTCTCTTTGTAGCCTCTTACTAATAGCACTTTGATGTGAGAAACATTCATCTTCATATCTCTATGAATATTCTATGTTAGGCTTTTGTGTGTTAAAAAAATAAAATGAAAATGAACATTATTAATATATTCATATTTTAAGAATCAAGGATTTTTTTTCTGTTGTAGTTTTACTTGAATGTCAAAACTTTATTTTCATTTTGAAATGTAGAATTCATCTTCATTAAATGTTTTCTGGGACTAGAATCATAGTAACACTTATACCTTATGTACCTGACCACAGCATCTCACAAACTAGGTGGTTGAACTTTTCCTAGGACTCACTGGACATTATCTCTGGCCAAATGATCACATAAGTGTGTCATTCCAGTTTAGTGAAATGACTTGTAAAACGTTTCGTAGTGTTGAACTGAGTCTTCAAAGCCTAGGGAACTTGGGAAATTTTTTAGTCTCACTTGAGGAATGTAGAAAAGAACAAAGCACTATGTGTGACCAGAGCACAAATAAAACTGACAGACTAGCTGAGAAACTCAGGTAAATTCCATTTCATGTTTAGTTGCCTCTTACTACAGAGGTAATCTTGACAATTTATAAATCATATTAATTTATACTGTACTTGAGAACATAAATGTTTTGGGAAATTTATATCTTTGTAATTTTGTAAGCAGATGTTATACCCTTTTCTAAAAAGAAATCTTTTTTTTTGAAGTATGGCTTTTGTGTTATTATTTACCTTAGAATCTTACTGTAACTAAATGAGCAAAACATTTCTGAGTCATCAAATCAATACTGAGGGTATAATACTGTATAGAACTCATTTTTATAGTGTTGCTTGGC